GCACCGCCGCCACCGACTGCTGGCACCGCGCGGCGTCGGCCGCGGCTTCCGAGCGGCCCGGCTCGACCCAGTGGGAGCCCAGCGTGAGGGACAGCCAGCCCCGCTGGCGCGGGCGGAAGTTGCTGTGGTAGTTGTGCCAGACCTTCGCGTGGGCCTGGAACGAGAAAGCACGGGTTACGGCTGTACGGCGTCCGGCCCGCCCGAGGGCGGTGACGCGCCGGCGGGGAGTCTTCTCGGGGATGGCTGACCGGCGGGTTTTGGTCTTTTATTTTTTTTGGTCTTTTTGAGATAGGGTTTCTCTGTGCAGTTCAGGCTGGCCTTCAACTCACTTTGTAGCCGAGGCTGGCCTCGAACTCACAGTGATCCTCCTGCCTCAGCCTCCAGAGTGCTGGGATTTACAGGCATGAACTCTGTGTGTGTGTGTGTGTGTGTGTGTGTGTGTGTGTGTGTGCGCGCGCGCGCGCGCTGGAAATTGAACCTAGGGATGAACTACATCCCCAGCCCCGCCCCCTCCCTTTGAGACGGATTCGCCCTGCTTAGTGCAAACTCATGCCACCCTCCTGTCTCAGCCTCAGAACTGGTGTTACAGGTGTGCCACCATGCCCAGTTTTTTTTTGTTTTTTTGTTTTTTTTTAACATTTTGAGATAGGGCCTTGCTAAGTTGCCCAGGCTGGGCCTGAACTTTTGACCTTCCTGCCTCAGACTCCCAGAGTGCTGGGATGACAGGCCTGTGCCACCACTCCTGGCTTCATGGACAAAGTTAATGAAGCAGGAGCTGGACACAACAGCCTATGCCTGTAATCTCAGCACTTGGGAGGCTGAGGCGGGAGGATCGCTGTGCATCTGAGGCTGGCCTGACCTACACACTGAGACTCTGCTCCCAAAAAAAAACAAAACTAGATTAATGAAGCACAAGGTGAAGGAGGAGACCCCAATGGACTCCCCAGTGCTTCCAACCTAGAAGTGTCCTGCAGGCCCCGGTGCAGGTTCTCTGACTTCTCCCTGCCTTGCTCCCTTGCGGGCCCTCCTGAGGCAGGGTCCAGGTGGGCACTGTGTGGACACAGGGTTCCTTCTCTTGCAGAAAGAAACAGGGCAGGACGGCTCACTGGTCTGTGCACTCTCCCCAGGGTCCCAACCAGGAAGCCCGAGACTGCGCAGGCTCCCGATCCGGTGAGTGGGTCCGAGGAAGCCACCCCCGGGCTCTTGTGAGGGTTAAGCGAGCTCACACGAGTGGCTTTAGGACGGCGTCTGGCCTGGAGTAGCGCTACCCGAGCCTTCGTTGTCGCTCCAATTACCGTGGGAGATGGCAGCGCCTCCCCTGACCCCCCGCGGAGGAGGAGAGAGGTGGAGAGCTGGGCTGGGCGTCAGCGCAGGGCGGCACCCACTGCGCGGCCTGAGGCCCCACCCTTCTGAGCCCTCAGCACACTCAGCGGAAGAGCGAGAGCGTCCACCCTGTCTTTTGTGAGGTGGTTGTCCTAGTGGGGCTCACGGGTGCACACCGTGTGCGTGACGCACCGGATGGATGCCGCCGTGCCTTAGAATCGAATCTAGGGCTGCTGAGCTACGTCCCCTGCCCTTTTTATTGTTTATTTTGAGTCAGGGTTTTGCTAAGTGGCTGAACCCAAACTTCGGATCCTCCTGCCTCAGCCCCCTGGGAAGCTGGGATTACGGGGTGTACCACTGCCTCTGGCTTTGAGCAGTGAATTCTAACCCAATAGATCCTGGGGATCTGAAAACATTCCATAAATCTGGTTTGGACAGGGAAAATAGCCATCGATGTGAGGGCCGAGGAGCCCAAAACTGGTGCCACCTGGCTCTATGCAGGAAAGGCTAATTTCAGCCATTCCCAGAGAGGCTTTCTGGAACAGTAGTGGCCTTACATTACCTCTGTCCGCCTGTCTGGCCTTTACTCAGTTCTCACTGGCAGCTCCCAGAGTCATTCAGCGCCTGAGCCTCAGTCTCCTGAGTGCTGGGTCGAGAGCCTCTTTCTATTTCTTCCTCTCTACCCTCCCTCTCTTCCTCCCTCCTTCTTTTCTTTTTCTTTTCTTTTTTTTTTCTGGTTCAAAACAAAAGCAATCGTGCATTATCAGGACCCAAAGGGGGCGTTCTTTGCTTTATTCTAACTGCTCGCTTGATCCCTGGGGGCCTTTACTGTTTTCAGCCGTACAAGACTCGCTGGTGGGCGACCCTGAACCCAGGTACGAGCTGAACCACAGAGCTCCTGCCCCGTGAACGGACGCCACCAGACACCAAGGGGGCAGGAGGCGGAACCAGGATCAGGGTATTAGCTCAGTCCTCAGAGGAGCTCACCAGCCTACAGGGAACCCAACAGGGCGAGAGAGTTTCTTCAAAGTATGTTTCACTGCTATCTCGGAGGTTTCCCGGACCTGAGTGGTGATGAAGTCTAGCTCCCCCGGCACTGGAATGAGAGGCGTGCAGCTCAGGCGGCAAGGAGCACCGGCTCTGCACGCATCCCTGGACGTTCGCGCGGGCTTCCGTGGCCCAAGGTGACCTCCGGCCCCCCCCTCTCTTTCACCTTTGCTGCTATTTGCACACCTATTGAGGGAGCTAAGGTCATCTCTGCTCTGGGGCGAAGACAGCACTGCCTTCTCCGCAGAGATCGGGAGGACCCTGTCCCTGTGCAGCGCTTGTGGTTACGGCTCAGTCCTGTTTGCCAAGTAATAGAGTAAAAGGCTTTGCTCTGAGACAGTGAGAATGACATAGATCGTGATGAACCAGGACTAGCTGCAGGGATTCTGTCTTTGTAAAATTATCATTATTTTTCTGTCTTTTTTTTTTTTTTTTTTTTTTGAGTATAT